CCTCAAGATTGGTTTTATCTTTTTGTCAATGAAAAACTGATTGGTCAAATTTAAATCTGTAAAGTAAGATCTAACTACCAAGTGATAGCTAGTATAGATCACATTATGTCATAAGCCAGTCTAAACACAGAGGCTATGCAACTGAACACTGGACTGTTTTCAACTCATTTTTTAAATGATGTCAGTAAAGGTCACCTACAGTTGTCTTCAACATAGATGAAGAACTCCGTCTTGCCAGGTACATTCTTTTCATATGGGAGAACTCCATAGTGGAAAACACAGTGGTATACATCTGTGTCTCGTCTTTGGAGGTTTGAGATTGTCAGATGAATCGCATGATTTTCCAACTCATCGCGTACAGTAATGCGATCCTTTTCATCAGATGTATTGATATATGGTGAGCGTCCTTTAGAAAGATACAGAACTTGTCTGGACTGGAGCAATATTCGTTTCAGCGAAAAGGCAAATGGTTGTTCCTCTTTGTTTGCAGATTCACAAGAAATGTCAACTGAGGAATTTCTTACTCTGTGAATGTAAACGATACCCCCGTGTGCTACAAAGAAAGGGCTCACAATTAGTCACATTCTTCAAGATGAATAACATCATTTCATTCAATTGACCTAACATAGCTTCTAGACCAGTGGGGAACTCTCGAACCACATGTGGTTCTTTGATCAAAATATATGTGGCCCTTCAGCTGTCTTTCTTCAATATTATTTTACCATTTAAAAAACTATAACATCACTAAAAATCTGTTTGCTAAAATAAACAATGTAAAAGATCAAAAGAAAATAGGCACACTGCTCTCTAAAGTCTTAAATATCCCAGTGAGAGATTTTCTTTTGATCTTTAATTTAGTATTTTTAGTTTCGCCATCACCACTCATGAAAGTTGTTTAAATCTATTGTTCTTTCTTCATTTATGGACCTGCTCAGCATGTGGTGCTTCATATTTTTGAGTTGTGCATGGACATAAATTACGGTTTTCCTAAACCTGTTTTATTTATAGAAATTTTACAAATAATATAGAAGTAGTAATACTATAATAATTTTAGTAATTTATAGTAATACAGTAGAAAATTATTTTTTTAAAAGGCATTTTGAAATTATAAACACATCCAAATGGCTCTTTACAAAAATGCATTCGCTACTAATAAAATGACTCTTTGCTAGAAAAGGTTACCGACTCCTGTTCTAGACTTATAATACAAACCGAAATTGAAGCTTTATGAGAAAACAAACATTTGACATGCCTCTCCAATTTCACTGGACAAACATTTAATCACGTCAGCTCACTGCTGAAATGTGCCAGTTTAAAAATAAAGAAACTGCTACAAAATATTTAAATGAGACTTTAACTTACCAGTCACAGATGGAGTCATAAGAAACCATATAATAACATGAGCATGCTTCAAACTAAACATTTTTCAAGAGTAAGATGAGTAAGAAAATAGTAGCCTAGCTGAGGTAAGAAAACCAGAAATGTCTTTGAGCTTAACAAAGAAATCATCTCACATGAATATAAGGAGCACGCAAATGTGACTCCACCTTAAAGGGTGGGGTGTGTGGTTTGGCGGCTTATGAAAACCATTGAAGTGTGGTTTGTCAACAGTTCATTATTGTGAAAAGATTGTCAAGATTTTGCAGTTTCTTCACTTGCTTAATGTTTAATAGGTATTTAATAACACTATTTTAAACATATGAATACATATGAAATGGCTTCATTAGAAATATACAATGAGTAAAAACAAGCCTGCATCTCACTCCAAAAGGAACACAGGTGGCTCCTAGTAATGCATCAAGTATTATGTAATCCACAGATCTGTTCGTTCCCACTGTTAATACTTTAAAATATATTCAGCTTTACTTTAGTGTTTGGATAAATATGTGTATGGGGTAAACTATTGGGAATCACTGTGCATAACATGCTTTAATGGTGTCTGTTTTGGTTGTCTTCCCTAAAAATGTTAAACTATTACTTCTGAAACATAGACTGTTACTTACAGATCAGACTAGTGTTTACTGTTAGCAAGCATTTCTACTTATAAAGAACTTTAAATGCAGCATGAGCCAAAGATTTAGACAAGCTCTTTTCTGACAAAACAGTGTCCATTGTTTGCAGAAGCTCATTTTAAACGGGTGTCTATTCATGTGTCTGCAGCGTGTGGACTTTTAGGGAGGCTGCAGACCTGAAGCTAGGCAGATCTACGTCCAAGGCAGATCCATTAGGGGGAGGCCACGCAGTGTTATTATGAGCCTTCAGATCTTTATCATAATCATCACATCAAAAAAACAGGACACCATAGAGCCGTATGTCAAATACGCGTTTAATTATTGTTTAGCAAATGTGTAACTTTTTAAAATTAGATTAAGGTCGATATGAGTACGTCAATACGTAGACAAATTGGTGTAAGACAGTTCACATGAGGAGACAAAACAAAGGCAGTATGTTGTTATTTTGTCTCAAATTTAGCTTACATGTGGTAAGTTACGTTAGCTATTACATCCCACTTTCCTTAGTAACGTTAGGCTAATTTTCTTTGAATTATTTTGTCTGTCTTCAGTCTGCATGATAATGCCTTTCCTGGTAAGATAAATATTTTTTAACTTCATTGTTTTAAAAAAAAAAAAAAAATTTTTTTAAATAAACAATGGATTTTGCAGCAGCATTAAAATAGATTTACACATTGGATGTTAATATACAAAAGAATGTCTACAAAAGATGTATAATAGACCTATGTACAGAGAAATTACTTAACTGAAGGTAAAAGCTGATGTATCTTGATCTTTTTAAAAAGTTGTTGATAAGTGTTAGATGAATGTTTGTTTATACTGACCTTGTATTTTTTCAGAATCTGTCTCTAAATGTTATACTTCAATATAATACTTCAAATTTTCCATTTTTAATAAGTAGACCATTTCTTTATTTACTTTTAATGAATTTGTAAATCACCTTTCAGAAGCACAGTCTTCTATGGTGGACTAAGCAGTATAGTTTTTCCACAGAAATGACACTTACAGGAGCTGCAGAAGACAGTGCTGGTCCTGGAGGGCCAATGTCCTGCAGAGTTTAGTTCCAACCCTAATCAGAAAAAGCTAATCAATGGCTAAGGTATACTTCAAACTTTCACACAGGTGTGTTGAAGAAAGATTGATCTAAACTGGCCCTACAGGACATAAATGTGGTGACCCCATCACGATAAAGCATTGTTATTCCTCCAAACTTAACTTTACATTGAAAAAAATGTATATATATATATATATATATATATATATATATATATATATATATATATATATAAACATTTATATTTATTTAGAGTTAAAATTGCATTGCATTCAATTACATTTAATGCAATCCTATTCTAAATGATTATTTTATATTTTGGTAAAATGTCAATAGTAGATCAAACAATTAAATGTTTTTTAAACTATCACAAATCTATAGAGGCATAGAGAATATCACAATTATAAGTGGTCTACTCATTTTGTTTTTCACATGTTTTCATAAATATTGCTTATCTTTTATTGTCTCAGAATATTTATTGTAACAGAAACATTTGTTAAAAAGAAATGAAATGTTTGACATCTAATAGAATAGCAGGGAAAGTCAGATTCACATTTTGTAGCCGCAAATGACAAAAATAAATAAATAAATAAATAATGACTTGATCTTTTTTTATATAAACCCTAAACTGTACACATGTTTCTAGGAAGCGTAGTAAGAGCTTGATTAGCTAGCCCAGGTGTGTCTGATCAAAGTTGGAGCTAAATTTTGCAGAACACTGGCCCTCCAGGACAGAGTTTGGGCAACCCTGTGTTTGAGGCTGTTTTTGCCTCCTTTGATTTCCATTATAACAATATTTTATGACTGCAAAGTCATTGACATTATATAATCATGCATTTATGATGGTTTTCCCTGTTGTGAAGAGGTAAAACTTCATTTTTACCGTGGATCATTAGTTGCCTTCATTAACCCCTTAAGATAGGCCTGTGCAAAAAGTTTTATATGGAGTTCTATAAAATAAAACTGCATTATAATGTGTGTGTGCATAATTACACAGAGCAATGTTCTGAGAGCTGAGGAGTTTTAGAAGTTTCAGACATATCAAGGTAAGTGCACAAAGATGTCTCACGCTATACTCTGTATACTCAAAGTCAGAAACTAAGCTTTTTGTTTTGCACTGCAACTGATGATCAACAGCAGAAACAAAAAAAAATTTGACCTCTTCCCAACAATCAAGAATTATATGGTGTCATGGATTTTCTATCACAAAATGCCATTATAATGGAAGTCAATGAGGCAAAAATAGCTACAAACATATCAAAACAGTACATTTTCCCAGATTGTGTTGTTGAATTTTCAAAGCACTTTTCTCAAAATGTCACCAAATTCATTGTATTTGCTGAAACGGAAAGTTGTGGCCAAATTAAGACTCAAAATCATCTCAGAGTGAATGAAAACATGCCCGACAGCACACAAGGGTTAAAAAATAAAATGTTTTTTAAAAATGCCACAAATTCTTGAGATGAATCCATTCTATAACACAAGGATTTCAAAAACACTAGTAAAATAGACAAACATGCAGTAAAGTTTGTTCCTTTGCAATACAAGTCACACAGTCCTACCTGCAGACCTGGAGATGCTGTGTGTTCTTGCTGTACTTCACTGCACCAATTTAATACTGGTAACCGAGAAACATCAAATCAAGCACATCACAAATTGTGTGGTGCATTTAAAAACTTCTGGAAAGCCCATTCATGCAACTTAACAAGCAAATGTGTTTTTTACAGTAAAAAATATGAAAGTGATTGAGCTTTACTCTTTACTGTACGCCTCCATTAACAGCATGTTAACGCTACATATTTTATGAACACTCCAGAACAAACTTATCGAAAAACAGTATTTGTTTTACATCGGTATGACTTAAGAAAAACCAACCTGCCTGAAGACTTCACCGTTCAGGAAAACCCCCCACACATAAACAAAACCAAGAAAAGGAAAATCAAAATGATGTTTTATTACAACTTATCAAACAAACAAACAGAAAATACAGAGACATGTTTACCCTTGTGCTGTACAAAGAATGATTAAATGGATGCAAAAGAATGATTTGAAGCCCTCACCAAGCTGTTGTTGGGGACATATAGTCCAACAGCACGGTACGGTGCTGTGAGGGCTTCATAACTAAGATGAAAGCATTGAAACTTGCCTTGAATATGGAGATATTGTTAGGCCAGCAGCTTCAATATATTACGAACCTTTGACTAATATACCTGAATGAAACACAATCGGAAGAAAAGCAACACATGTATCAAATGTAACATTGATACTGTTGTTATGGTCATCTTTTTATTTAAGGACTTAATCCAAAACGTTTGTGATATTACATATCTCAAATGTCCAGTATAAAGTTTTTCCTTCAGCAGTGAGTTTGGGTACTATTAAGCACAAGATGAGAAAACGTTTAACCAAACCTAATGGGATGACAGCGCTGCTTCAGTATCGGCTACCTGGAGACATTACAGATGGCCTTATGCCCATGGGAGGCCCAACTGGGCCAGCTTGGTATGAGGGCACCATTGGTGCATTCTGTCCATAAGGAGGCATGCCAACTGCCATAAAACCAGACATGGCTTGAGGAGGACCACCATACTGACCTGAAAGAAATAGGGCAATGCTTAAACATGGAAATGCATAGCATTTTCACTTCCACTAAAATGTTTCAAAATGTTGATTTTATAAACAAATCCATTTAATGATTGGAACGTGATTAAATAATGTATTGTTTTTGGGGACTTATCTTTTATTCATAGATGATCTCCAATAAAATGTTTTTTTTTTCTGATTTGTAAAGTATTGACAGCTCTCAAAACACAACCATTGTTGATGTTAACATGCTATGTTTGTGATAATCATGATGAAAATTCATCCAAAAGGATTCTGGTTTTGCCTGTAGCAAGTAATTACCCAGTTTGTAGAGGTCATTTTGTCAGTAAAGGTCACAATATTTGATAAAACTGATAGATAAGGTTTCCATTTCATGTTGTTATGCAGAATGGAGTCACTAAACAAATTCTGCCTTTATTTGCTTGTAATTGTCATGTAATATTATGTAACTATAATAGTATCACACAGCATCGATATAAAACAAAAAGCAATTCTTAGAAGAAAAAAAAACTAAATGAAGCCTTAAATTGCTTTTTTAGCTTTACAATACAAAAGTCCTTTTACAGAATGGGCAAAGAACGTCTCTGTTCCATGTATAACTTTTCACTTTAGATTTATATAGATCCATAAACCAAATGAAGTGTTGAAAACATATACTCAACATCAGTACTGTGTCTAACATTAAATTACAACATAAGTCATTTTAATTTGTTTGGATTTAATGGTGACTAACCTTCTAAAAGGAGAATGATCTACACACACATCTTACCATGTATGGGATGTCTCATTCCAGGCTGCTGAGGAGGCATCATTCCTCCCACTGCTCCACTAGGGGGAGCTGAGGCAGCCGTGGCTGCAGTCTGCCCAGGACGAGGGATTAGCCTCTGATACCTAGGCAGCTGAGCTCGTCTCTCTTCCTGAATTAGAGCCAAGACAATAACAATGCAATCAGGCAACTACAGTAACAAAAACCCATTTGGACTGTACGCATTCTCATAGCACAACTTCATACTTTAACTAGCACTACTTTTAACTAGAATAAATTCGTATTTTATTTCAGCAGTTTATGCATTCACATTACTTACGGTCAAAAAAAGTTGTCAGAGCAAAACTCAAGCACTCACCAGCGAGATATCCTCATCAGGGTGCATCAACTTACTGGTAGCACTCAAGGTGGTGAGGGTGGCTGGCTTACTTGTGACTGTGGCAGGGGGCTTGGCCACAGTGCTGGAGGAGGCAGGCACCACAGAGGAAGTGGAAGGAGGCTGGGTGTAGGCTGGGAATGTCACCTTGGGAGAATCAGAGCTGGTTGATGATGGTCCTGATACTGTCTGCTGCGCCTGAAAACCAAGACTGATATCTTGACAACATGCTCGCAATAAAAGAGATTTTGCCTATTCACAGCAAACAATGGCACAAAAGTGAAATTAAGGTCAAATATAGCCGTTTCAGACTATTTAAAATAAGCCTGCTAACTTCATAATTTAGGGCAAACTGGTATAAAAAGAACGCAAAAGCTTTGTTTTAAGAAAAGACTTGTGATGTACTTTAAAAAAAATCCTATGCATGCATGCATCTACAACTAAAATAAATAAACAACCAGCTTAACATCAAGTTTTATATCAGGGCTGCAACTGACAATTCGTTTCAGATATATAGATTTGACATCAAATGAAGCCAAACCATTTTCAGAAAAACCCCCGTTCCTAATCCTTTTTCCCAGTGTTGTCCTTGGCTGAAGAAACAAACACAGTCAATGTATGCATCTAGATACATTTTACAAAACCTGTTAAAATACATGAGCTAAGAGTTTACCAAACAAACAACAACAGACTAAACAACTGACTTCCATTCAGATCTATGTGAATACAGGAAACACGCATCAAGCCATTTTGGTAAACTCTTAACCAGGAGGGTCGTTGTCCTGCAGATTTTAGCTTTAAACCTAATCAAACATGCTGTTGTTGACTTCAAACTTCCAGCCAGGTGTGTTGAAGCTAAACTCTACAGGACACCAACTCCTGATCTAGACCTACAAATCCATGTGTAGACATACAATCAAAAGAAGATAGATACTGATTGAAGATTGACAGTGTGAAATAATCTCATGACTTTCAAACATTTATGGATAAGAATACAAGTATGGTATATAAACAGCCAGGGAAAAATCATTTATCTGCGCTTGCATTAGTAATTATGTGTTTGCCAAGCAACTGAGGGGCCAAGTTGCATTAAACTATGTGCTTTAAACCACTTAAAATTGCTCATGTTAAGGACAACTTGGGAAACACACTATTCCTGTGGCAGCTTACTTTTCTATATCACAAGTCTTGTCTTTAGAAATAGGTTATTCAGTACAGTAAAAAACAGCTTAAAGTGTTAATTAGGGATGCTCATAATAATAGATTAACCGTTAAATGAAAGGATGCGTTTGTAACCAATTAATGGTTTCAGTTAAACTATTACAAAATATATTTTTAGTTTGGGATGGTTTCCGCTACATTCATTCTTCCATGGCAGGGCGCCACACCAAAATGCATCCCTCCACGGCTACATTGCAGCTTCCTATTTAAAACATTCAGTCATTGTTGTTGTTGTTTTTTATTAGCGGGTTATAATCGCACTAAAACTTATTAAAAGTTGAAGTTAATATTAAAAGTGAATTATAACAGTGCAAACGTTTCTGTAACCGCAGTAGTGCTGTGTGTCATTTGTTTAATCCTTTGAGGTTACGTGCTGACTGACTGACTGACAGGTGTGTGATGCAGGAGGCCAGCAAACCCAACGTAGCTTTCAGTTAGGATGAACACAGTTTCTGTAATTATACTTTATTTATATATAAAGGTCTGTGGCTCTGCATATAATGACTTTATCTTGCTGGAGTTTATAGCCGTTTCACTTTACTTCAGGATGCATTAATGCTGCTTTGCTGGTCTACTGGAGACATTCAGAAATAATCTTAGCAAATCTAATAAATGTTGGAGACATACATACTCACTACACGAGCGCACCAAATTGCATATCAGCATTGTTTATTTGAGAACGTACAAGATCTGCGCTTGAGCAGTGAATATTTGAGGGGGCATGCAAGAGGTTTTGTGCACGAGCAGAGGAAATCTGCATGCAAGCACACACGTATTGCATGTAAATACAATCTCGACTTTACTGCGCTCACGACATTTCTCCATTTGTCATTGAAATAACGCCATAAGTAGTTAGTAGATTGTGTAAAAGGTCTGCTGCCACAGCTGGAAAAAATCCCAGAGAAAACACTGAAGATATAAGAGAGGCTGCTCGCTGTTTCAAGTTATCCAGAGCTGTATGACTTTGCAAATCTTGAATATCACAATATTGTAATATATTACAATTGTAACAATATAGACAGCAAAACTCTTGCACAATCAATACCCAGCTGATTCAGTCGTTTCATAGTGACAAAAAAAAAAAAAAGAGCACCACACTGCTTTTTGACATTGTCAACATAAAAGGCAGTCGGGTACGCCTCGAGTTTTGGAACAGAAAAGCGCGTTTGCTGTGATCGGCCCCTTGTTCAACTGCAACACATTTGTGTTAACTCACGTGTCTACAGACATACTTGCCAAAGAAGCAAAATGGAAGAAGAATATTGCTGTTTAATAGACGAGTTGATGCCAAACCAGCGCTGATGCTGATGGCCTCCTGGATCTGCGTCATAAACACCACAATTAGGCTTTAGCTTTAATTTTAAAGATTATAAAGCATGTATGCAAATTAATGCAATATCATATTTAAACAACAAAACTGTTTACAAAAAGTCAACATATGCGTGCGGTTTCAGTATTGTCTTTTCATCACACAGCGCGCGCACTTGAACCGCAAGTGAGAGAGGAAACCATATATCAAGACATAATCTTTGAAATAATGATTTCTATTAAAAATGTAAAAAGGTTTTGTGATATAATAATAAAACCGGGGCATTAAATAAATGCATATTTTCCGTGGAGTGAACGATTTGAGGAAGGCTGCTATTTTTATTTGACGGAAGACAAAAACATGATTGGAAAAAAAACAGCCTATGCCGGTTCCTAAAAAGGATTTAGTCAGTGTTTTCGTTTTGTAATCTAAATTAATAATTTAGGGGAAAATAATTTAGGACAGGCCTATTTATTTTATTCTGTTGTCTATGCTGTTGGAAACACTGCAGGTGTGTGAAGATGCTCTGTTATTATGTTCTGTCATTGTTATGCTAGCATGTTAAAATAAATCAGTATTTTAAAATGCAATATTTAACATGCCAAACACAAAATAGACACGTCAATTTATCATTACTACTTTACCTTAATAATAATATAATATTAATCTGACCAGTTAACCGTAAATATCCAATTAACGAGCGGCGGCTGTCGGTTAGCAAAATTAACCGAAATGAGCATCCCTAGTGTTGATGCATAGTGACATCTAATTGACGATCAAATTAGTTTCTGATTATCTCCATTATCAATTAGTTGTTGCAGCCCTGTTTCATTTGCATGTTCAAATATAACAATATGTGCGCATATACATTTTACACGAACGTCAGAAACTAAAATCGGAAGATCTCTGATCTGCATGCGTTGTTGCAGTACAAAGAAGCACACAAACTTGTGCGTACTTGAGCAGAGTTAGGGAACAGAGGCTTAGATGAGGCAGACTGTATCTCTGCACTTGCAGGAAGAGCACTGGGGTTTGCAACACCAGTCCCCATCTAAAGCAGAGAGAAAGGTTAATAGTAAAAAAAAAAAAAAGCTTTGTTTTGAGCCCGAGATGATTCACCCACAAAATATGAAGTGTCCGCTACTGTAGTAATGTAGCTTACTGCATATATTTTAAAAACACATACCAAGTAAAACGACTTGTCAATGGAACAGCACTCAAAGTGACAATCTTCACTTTTTATTATAAAGTACTAATTCTTGTACAGATTTGCCACATTTTAGATTCAAATTAAAACATTTTTTTATCCTTTTATAAAATGTAAACTAGCTGTTGTTGTTTTTTACTTGCATCACAATTGTTCAAAAATAATGCGTTACCCAATCATAACATTGCTACATTTTTGATTGCATCTATAATGCAATGCACAATTTCAAGCTCTTAAAGACAATTCACACATTAACATTCAATTAATGACCCCTATAAATATATTTGTTCACAATCTCGAGCCATACACGTACTCAACCCTTAAAATAAGTTTGGCTGTAAGCTCAGTACCTGCACAGCGCTGGGGAAGAGTGGTTTGGATGCAGCAGACTGTGTGATGGGCACAGCTGGTCTGCTGGCCAGTCCAGGAACTGTGACGGGGGCTGCAGGTGCCATAGAAGGCATGCCAGGTCTGCCAACATGATGTGGCATTCCTACAAAAAAACAACATTTTTTACTACAACTTTATGATCAAGCAATATCATCCTCCACCATCCAATTTGTCAAATACATCTAATAAAATCTTTACAATACAACTTTTTTTTTTACAGAAAAAAAATTATTTCAGTACATCACTTAAAATAGAAACTTTCTTACTAATATGCCCTGGGCTTTTAAAATAATGTATCAGCAGGAACTAGGCACAAAACTGACCTGGTAGCATACCAGGCATCATTGGAGGCATTGCTGGGCCAGGGGGCATCATCCCTCTCATTGGCATCATGCTATGAACAAGAAAAACAAATATAAATCACATTGGACCATAATATGCACTTTTAACCAACACAAGCACACATTAAAGACATACCCTGGTGGCATAACTGGCATTACTGGGGGCATTCCTGGAATCATTGGTGGGACACCAGTCAACATGGGTGGCATGCCTTTAAAAACACACACGATGCGTTAAGGTACACTTTTTTTTATTTAAGCTGCACTCAGCAAAATACTGGCATACCCACCTGTATAACCAGCAGACGGCATGCCCTGAGCCTGAGGTCCAAGATGGATGCCTGTCTGAGTCATTGGAGCCATGTAGGCAGCCTGAGGTTGAGCAGTAGGCTGCTGAAATGATGAAGGTCCAGCTTCGTCCTCATCATCGTCGTCATCTTCATCAGAATCATCTTGATTCTGTTTCTTTTTCTGACTCTCTGTTGGGAGTGAACAAGTTTATAATGATGTTTTAATTGACCCTTCGCTAAGCCACACCCTAAGACCGCCACATAACAATCGTGGCTTAGCAACTGTAGCTACGTGCTGGAGGTCTGTAAACCTTTCAAGCGAGGAAAACAAGCCAAAGCGTTGTGCATATGGATTGAGAAATATGGGTACTGAAACCCTTGGTAACCGGTATGTACCGGTATTAAATCAGCATATGAATTTCGGTGCCATTCGGTGCTGCGGCAAAAACGTAAGCAGCATCAAAGGGGTGCATAAAAAAAGGCACAAATAGGTGTTGTCACACCATCACTAAACATTTAATTCTAAACAACTTTGAGTAATACAGACAGGCGATATTAGGGAACAGACGCACGTACGCATGCAACGCGCGCAGCACAGCGCATTCAGCCTGGTTTTCGGTGAGCGAAAGCAAAGCGACGCTCTTCAGATCACGGCGCGTGATCACGTTCTTCCAATTTGCTTAAACTAAGCATTCTAAAGCGTATTTTACAAGCAAGGACACAGCAACTGTCTTTAAAATAGTGTAAGGGGGAAACATGTCAAACTTAATGACATTTGAGGGCTCAAAGGCAGAGCCTCTTTCGCGTGCTTTAGGTGTCGCTCCTTCTGTTTTGGCTCTCTCTGTGAAGGTGCTGCTGCGCATCAGTTCACCGCATTCGTCAGAAGTTGATGCCCAAATTGACACAGGTAATAAAAAGATTAAACTTCAGTCATGTTCATGTTGTGAAACACTATCAAAATGTCCACCGTTGATGACATTAGACTTCTGTTTTCAATAGCGAATTTAACACTTTAATATAGGAAGTCCTCGACTATGCAGAGACCATTATTAATCAGAAATCTAGTGTTCATAACTTAAAGTTAGGAAATGCAGTCTTGAGTTTACAAACAGTCGGCAAGTACCAAAGAACAGATGTAAGACATTGATCAAATGTAGTCTTCAGTCACGCTCATGTAAGTCAAATTCAACGCGTTTAGTTTTGCCTTCATTCATTTTTGATTTCAGTCTTCAACAAATGATTTATTTACAACACACTTTTTAAACACAATAGTTTAACTAACTCCTTTCTAATATCTACTTTTTTATCTTCCCCATGCTGACAGTCAGTGCAGATCATTTTACTAGTTATTTTGCAAGACAGTTGTATTCAGACAAAGTCCCTTTAAGTATTTTATTCAGATTAAAGTGTAATTTAGACTTAATCAGTTAGTTACGAAAGTTAAAATAATTAGTCAAACTGATTTGTGTATATCAAAAATATACTGTAAATATTTCTTAAGGAGGCTAATAATACTGACCTTATTTTTATTTAAATTAAAAACGGCTTTTATTCACGAAATAAACAATAAGAAATAGGACTTATTATGACTCCAGAATATTTTTTTTTTTTAGGAAACACTGTAAAAATTTTCAGAAACATTATTTTAAATGAATGGGAGGGCAAAATAAATTGACTTCAACTGTAGGCCAGTTAAAGTTTACAGGTGCAACAATGTGCCTTGATGTACTTAAATGTTAGAAATGTGTTCTCCTACAACAGTATAACGTTCCTTGACAAATAAATGAACAAGGAAGATTATTTTTAGTAAGTTATTTAATTATCTTGTTTATGAAGACTGCAGAGTGATGCATGAAAACAAATGACTTCGAATAATGTTTTAAGTATTTTGTGATATACATGTTAAAATGTGCTCTTAAATGTACGTGGCCCCTGCCCGCCCCCCACAGATTAATAGTAAGCTAATGTAATTTCATAATGCAAATCTCAAATTCATGCAAACCAACAAATGATCAAAGGAAATGTGTGTGTTAATGTAATACAATATGAATTGATGTTTACATTAAACTGTAATTATATTGTTCTATTAAAATGATTTTTAAAAATATTTTGTCAAACTAAATATTTTTGTAGAGTCATCCACCATCCTTTTGTGGCTAAAAAGTATTGATTCAGGCACCGGTACCATTTTAAAAGTATCGATTTGGCACCGGTACCGTTTTAAAAGTATCGATTTGGCACCGGTATCAAAAAAAAAAAAAAAAAAAAACGATACCCAACCCTATACCCGGTATCCTAAAAGTTTGGACGGGATGGTGGACTTTTTTTCTCTTTCCAAAACCCAAGGGGAGAAATACCAGCGTAGATCAAGCTGTGTAAGGGACGTTAAAGGAGCGGAGTTAACTTGATTTTGTTTTCGATATTCCTAACACATTCAGTGATAGACGGCAATAACTCACACACCTCTTACCATAAAAAGATCTAAACTTTGTTACCTACAAAATTACAAAGCAGGTTATGTTTCCCAGCTGTCTTTCTTTTTTTTTCCTCCGCTCGATATTATGACCACTGCTCCATTTAAGCCCTCGCCATAGTAGTCATGCTAATTAGGGATGCACGATATATCGGCGGCCATATCGTTATCGGCCGATAAATGCTGTTTTTTTAGATTATCGTTATTGATCCGACGTCTAAATTAGGCCGATATCTTTAAGCCGATAAATTGCGTAATTGTAAAGACCTGCCTGTCTCGCACAGGCCTGTGCATGATAATAGAGCTCTCTTCAGACTTTTTATTCCTTCAAAGTCCGTCCTTGCTTCATGTGGTATTGCTGTGCATTAATAACTCAGTAAGTAAGCATGTTGCTTATCATTTTAGATATGTTTGATGGAGTGTCATTGTGTATTTTGCTTTAAATCGCCTTTAAATATATATATATATACACACACACACACACACACACACACACACACACACACACACACATGTATGTGTATATATTAGTGCTGTCAAACGATTAAAAAAATTAACTAATTAATCGCACCTTTTCAAAAAAATTTATCGTGATTAATTGCATTTAAAATACTGAAACTTGTAATTTTGGCTATTTAAATGTAAAATTAATGTAAACGCAAGACAAAAACTATTTAAATTCAAAATATAATTGTTTATTAGAATTAAAATTCTCAATATAATTGTTTAATAGAATTTTTGTTTAACTTGTAACACAGATTTCTTCATGTAAACAACATACCCACAATAAACCATCAAGATCCTGGCTTGACAGCCATTTTTATTAAAGAAATCAAAACACAGGCATGTTAATGACATTTAAATTTCAAAACAATCAATGCATTGATTGATTTCCATGTTGGATTCTAAGTGGACTGCAAAAAAATGCCAAAATTAAAAATTATAATCATAAACTATAGAATACAAACTGTTGCACTCATTGTAAAGTTTTATTGCTGTGAGTAGAGAACATTAGTTATAGAGTAGAAACAATTTTGCTTAATCCTCCTTTACATTTATCCAGTTGCTAAGACTAGGAGTATCACGCAAGTGCACAGAGACTCCCAAATGCCCGCAAATGAATGATAATTTCTCGCAAACCGGTTGTTAAATACATTGCACACCCCTCACCCCCGGCATCCCTCCTAGCTCTTCAGGTAGCCTATGTCGTGCGCAACTCACCCCCACCGTCCTTCAGGTACGTCTCGCGCGCAACTCACCCCCACCGTCCTTCAGGTACGTCTCGCGTGCACACGCCCCTACTCGGATACGTCGCTTACTCCCCCCCTGACACCCCTCAACGGGCCTGACACAGACACACACACAACGCGCTGCAGACGTTTTGGCCCCATCGGCCTTCCATACTGGAGCGACTCCCCTCAGATTTAACACACATGATCACATTCATCAAATTTGCTTAAACTAAGCGTCCTAAAGTATTACTGTATTTCACAAGGATTCTGACACAACAACGCGAAGCATATGCTTTCGTTGCGTTTAATGAGGAAACACGCTAAACTTGGAGGGCTCATGCTGAAAGGCAGAGTTATGCCCTGTTTTTGATAGCTCGCGACTTCACCAGAGACTTTGAGTACATTTACATAAGACACCAATACTCCGATTTTAATATGATTAAGATTATACTCTTATTAAAAGTCTACCGTGTAGCCCAAGCAGTGATTTCATTACCTTAAAGGAACACCGAGTCACGAAATGTGTAGGATTTTCTTTTCTGTTCGCCATGCGGTATCAACTTACAACAGAAGTCGAAAGTTAAAAATGAAACACCCGAAATTGCATGAAACTTTGGAGAGCCTGGTGATGTGACTAATTGTTTATACTGAAACTTGCGTTCATAAAGTGCTTCCTTGGTCTTAGACACATTTCTTGCATGTTGAACACAGGTCCACCACAACAGATAGTAAAATAAAAAAAATAAAAAAAGCAACTGCGTGATTTTTTTTAACGCGTTAATTATTTCAAATTAATCGCATGCGTTAACGCACTAATTTTGACAGCGCTAGTGTATATATATACAGGCCTCCAAGTCTGAAGAGTTATCGGTTATCATTATCGGCCAAAAAATCCATATCGGTGCATCCCTAATGCTAATAGTAATCATATTTCCATCCTTTTCAAGCTACGATGATTTGAAATTGCCTATCAACAGTACAAAATAGAGATGTGATCACAAACTGAGCATTTGCGATCAATATACTTCACTCGCAGCTGTTTTCCAGTCATTTATAATCATCATGTCCATGTCAGCGCTACAATTCACTGATGTTTTTGTCAATGTTTTAGAGATTTAGTCATCTGTTCACTTCTGCTATTTATACTTTGATTTGCATTTCAAATTTTTCCCCCTTAACTGCAAATTAGAATAGAAACTGGATAAAAAGCACACAAACGTACAGACAGTTGTAGGTACTGTACATTGTTATGGGTCAATGATGATAATATTTAGCACAAATCCATCAATTTCGCCTTTCTGGCCTTTTCTTTCTATGAATGAATTAGAAGCACTGTCGATGCGTGTTTCCTCGTCAGTTAGTAACGCTATATTTCATTGCACAACAATTAATCTATGAGATTTTTTGCCGAAAAAAAAAAAAAAAAAAAAAAAAAAAAAAGAGCGGTTTAATTAGTTAATATTAGATAATTTTTAAATTTCACCTCTCCTGCTGTGCATGAACTAAGCTTTTGAATTAACAGCGTATGAAGCGGCTAGGCTAACCTAGCTTTAATTTTGATCAAGTTATTCTCTAATCGGTTGCCTATAGACCAGTTACCAACCTATGTCACACATGACGTCACACGGGTCCCCGGGTGCAAAAAAGACAGGCTGCAATAGCAAACATGTTGTGTTGTGCCGTAAGATGCCGAATTAGAAAGTCCACAAATAGAAAACATAACTTTGACCATACACCACACTGCTTTAATGCTAACTGCAGACGTCTTTGGCTAAAAGGGAGCTGAAAGAAGTGACGACCTAATTAGAAATGCTGGACTCTGCAGTTTAGGCAAGTTCACGCTATGCTTAATCATACACATTACTCGTTTTTGATTGCAGAAAAGATTCAGCAAAAACAGTTACATATTGTTAATTAAATTAAAGACACTGAATGCTAAGAAACGTGAAAGTGTAAGTTATTAAGGTAAACTTTCAAGGTTTTTTTTATTCACACATTCATTCAGTGACAACTTGTGAAACACTCCCTATATTGTTTACTATGGCACTTTGAATATTCGGTCTGAAATAGCCTGCAAGTGTGACTTGAAAACAACAGTAACACTGTTTATTTGACTGTGAACAATGATGTACTTTGATAGTCATTTACTGCTAATATGATTTCGCTATTTAGAGTTTGCAAATAATACTTTAAGGAAATTATATTATTTAGGAGAAAGTCCGAATGTGTGAATATAAAACCAACTTTACTTCTATGTGCAGGTTCACATACCCTGCCGTACAGGTTCAGTTCGCTCTCAGAATGCAGTCGTTTTGCGTGTTGGTGATTAATTACCCAGGCCTTGTACAGCTCTGTCTGCTTTCCTTGTCTTTGGCTAGGCAGAATCTCGTTTTTAGCTCTACATGGTTGAATCTGGTCATCATGGAGCATTATTTCTTGCACATGACCACACAGAACAACACTGTTGGCATCCAAAGACTTGTAGACCTTTAACTTCTCTCTTGTAAAATCACTTGGAGCTTCAATGAGATTGTATATCGGATATTACACCTGTTCGCCAAAATAAATAATTATATCCCTGGCAATGTATGACACTGATGCATACATATTGTAATAGACATGCCAGGCACGAAAGCTTGACAGGCGTAGCAACACTAACTGAGGACGGGGCTTAGCGAAGGGTCTGTGTCTTTATACAGACAGATAGACAAATAAAGAATTTTGCAGAATGGTGTATCTTGGTCTTTTATGAATAAATTGGTTTACCTGACTGTGATTGTAACACCATACCTTGTGATTTCTGTTCAAGAACTCTTCTCCGGTCTTGTATGTCTTTTTCTGGAATACCTTCCATGCCATATATTTCCAGTTCTATATCTGTTCTTCCCGGAATTGCGTTAGGAACCCCATCAATTGTATCTTTGTGTACCTTTAAAAACATTTAACGTTAAATTAAATAACAATCTCTTACCAACCACAATGAAAATTTACAAGCACAACTGTCCATACCTGCATGCAATGTATGGCTAATCCGGGTCCAGTGTACAGCTTCTTGTGACATATGTGACATTTGAAGTGTTTAGCTTTCTGGTGCTGAATGAGAATCTTCTCATCGTCAAAATCTCTGTTGCAGTACCTTGAAGTTATAGTCAAGGCTCATATATTAATGCACACGTGCATACGACAAAGCGAAATAAAAACATCAAAAAGCAATTAAAAAAGGAAATAAATTCATAGTGAAATAACCACTAACGTTATAACTTAAGTTAGTTCGATTCATATAACTCGGAACGTTCAGAAAGCATAAATAATGACAAATAACGTTTACAGTTAACTTTATCCTGAGCAGTTAACGTTACTTAGGAGAGGCAAAACCCACTTCATCCCAAAAGACGTTAATACAACTAAATGTAAAAAAACGAAACATACGGGTTTACAATTGTCTTACGACGTCTATTTGTATCAGACATAGCTGCAGTGTGAAACTGATAGCATGAGCTTAAATTTATGATCATGCTGCGGCACACATATCACTGAAAAGGATACCAGCACCATGGTTTCAACTGCTTCTTCTTCTTTCGTCCCATTTTGATAAACACTTTTTATCGTCTTCTAAACAAACCGGTAAGGGATTCAAACCCGTCACTAAACAGCTCTTTGGTAGAAACACAAAAAAAATGGCGCGGCACTGCTGAGTTAAGACATTTTTACCCACAATGCAGAGCCACATGACGCAAAGACGCAGCTGCGTGATGTGATGACACGCACGCTCTTCTGATGACGTTGTCTGAGGAAAGAAAAGAGCCCCCGTTACAATCCACAACCTGTATCACAAATTTCGCTTAATTTGGTCGATTCTTATATTAGAAGATTATGTTTTGCTTCTCCCTGTAAAAATAATAATAGGGTAATCCGTTCAGTATTTCAGCAGAATATTATTAGTCTACTAGGTGTGACTGATTCAGTGGATAATATTTGTTGGGAAAAGGTATGGATGATTCCGCAGTTATTTTCTTCTAACAAAGTAAAAGAGGTTTCTTATAAAATAATTCATTAAAATTCATTATCATTATATGAAAAAATATACAAGTGATATCTCCTACAACTGTTCAGTTTGGGATGACTGTTTTGAAACTGTTATTAATATCTTTTGGAACTGTCCATTTACAAAAACATTTTGGAAAAGTCTTGAATTTTATTTAAAGTAAAATTTATAATGAATGTACTTTGTATAGGAAACATGTAGTGGGCTTCACTGAGTAAGAACAACCTAAAAGTAAATAGTTGTATGTGGTAAACTTAGTTTTGCTGCTTGTTAAATTTCACAACGAATTTAAACTATAACGTTACCTTTTATTGATGAAATTGTCTCATAACAAAAAGGCTCTAAAAACTTCAACTGTCTGTGGCTCTTTCCCTATAATGAGTAATCTTTGCTTTTTCAATATGTATTTTAATATACCACCTGTGTTAGCTGTTTTCTTTTGTTTTTGTTTTTAGCTGTTCCTGTTTTTTCCTCTTCATTGTTGAATATACTTATTCTGCCTGTTTGATGTTATATGTATAAGTTGTATACACTGCTTATGGGCTTAATAATAAAAAAAGTAATTATAAAGAGATTCTTTCTTATATAAAATCCTTTAAGAGAATGAAAACAAAAAGTGCAATTAATCTTCTGTCTCTAATAGAAAAGTATAAATAACAGGAAAGTCCTAGTCCTTTTTATTTAATTATTATATTTAGTCATGTATAATTTTACTTATAATTATTTATGTAAGATGTTGTTTTGGGAATGTCCCTTTGTTAAATCTTTCTGGTCTGATGTGAATTCCCCAATTGTCAAAAAGGTTTGGTGATTTTGCTTTAAGCTACAGACATATTATTTTTGAGTTTTAATTTAAAGAAAAACAATTCCTTAATTCAAGTTTTTGTATAAAACTCATATTATTTATTGAAAAGTTTTTTATACATAAATGTAACTAAAATTTTGTATTATTTAAAACAAGAATTGGAACTGTATGTAATCTCATAACAAGAAAGCAGTTAACACTTATAAAATGTGCTTTATTTAGTATTCTGCATTAATTTGTATTATTTTTTCATGTTCCCTCTCTTATTTTTTTGTTTCTTCTTTTTCTATCTCTTTGTCTTTATTTTTTGCTTTATTATTATTATATTTCTTTAAAATTGTCGCATTTATCTTGTTGCAAAAAATATTTGTATTGTTTGTACTATACTTCTGCTTGTATTTCTATCTGTTGTAATTGCCTGTTGTTATTGCAATAAAAAAATTCACAACTTGCCAAATGCTTCAAACTTTGTCATAAAGAGTTTTTTTTCACCAAGTTATGTGCATTTATTTAAAACATTTCTTTACCTTAATGAGGGGACAGAGTTTATTTTTTATTTTTTTGATAAAAATGTGACAATAGATATGTGAGACGAAAGTTCCACATATCCAACAAAACAAGAGAGATACATTTTACGATTTTGCATAATGTATATCCTACAAATTCCTAAATTGCTAAATATTTTGTGTACTTTTTGCAATATACATGAATAAACTTTATTTTATTTATTCCATAATTGCACTCAATCGCACTTTTTGTTTTGTTTGAAGCAAGCAATTGTATCAAATCAATGAAACATTTTTGAAAAATGTATGTCATTGTTAACAATTTTTCTTGATTAAGTCAGTACCTAGACAAATAACTACAGTGATATGTAAAACATTATTAATTTTGCTGTAGACCACATTAAGTGAATAATGCATTTGGAATTTTGATGGTCCAGGGCAGATCAGACAGAAATGACTAGCTAAATAATATAACCTTACCCAGCTATGTAACCTAACCTATATAAACCTAACCTTGCTATATGTACCATGAAACTTTGAACTAAGTTGTTGAGTTATTTTTTCTAAGATTTAGAGCTTAGAGAGCAGCTGTTTTTTTTTTTTTTTTTTTCTATGTTCCAATGCATTTCTCATGAGCGCCTGCAGTGCATAAACAATACAATTAGTTGTGTTTTCGTAAACCTCTGGCAATGGTCAAAAATGTTTAGACCTCATTTACACCCATTTTTATTTAGTATTGTCCACTTGTGATTAGATTGATGAAATGTATCTTAACACCAGAGGTAAAAGTCCTCTCAGTAGACAAATTTTGTATAGGACTAACACAGTCTGCTCTTTTAAGCATTTTCACCCACCTTGAAGTAGATGGTTATTTAATGGCTTCTGCAGACTACTGTGATCGTCTTAATTACCAAGTTCACATATATAGGAACCGTAAAACACTGTTAAAGCATTCCATGCATCTTCATTTGTTGAACTACAATCTCATGAGCAGTGTAAGATTATATATTACATATCAGATCAGGGTGTGCGTTTATTAGTTTTGTGTTGCTGACTCTAATATCAACACATCATAGTCTACTGGCCATAGTAAATGCTTACTTTGATGACCTGATGCAGAAGTTTTATGTTTTGGCACACAATGATTTTGGAGCTTTATTTCAGTTGAACCACTGAAGATACATGGAACATTTTGACAATGTTTTTGGTTCCTCTTCTGGACTTGGAACATTTCTGAACCATTGCTGTCTATGGAGGATGAGAGAGCTTTCATATTTCATGAAAAATATTAATAACATAATTTTCAGATTAACAAACCTTTAACAAAAAAGTGAACAAAAACAGTTTTTTCCAATAAACACTGAGATTGGAATATGGACTCATTTTCACTGATCCTAGCATGATGTACGTTTATACTGTCAGTTGCAACTCACAATCACACAGTTTTAAGTCGGAGATGGACTGGGCATGTAGAAACAGAAGTGTCACTTACAAAAACAAAGGTTTGAATTGGATTTCACAGTCAGTAAGACAATGTCATGCTTTATGCTGTTTTACTTGGACTTTAAAGTAAATTGTCCTGCTGCTTGACATGGTGAGGCACTTTCTGTAGTTTGTGGCTAAAGCCTGATGATAACAAAAACAAAAATTATCTTTGCATACTTACAAGGTACACAGCGGATATTTACATTCATAAAATAAATTATTTGGGACACGTCATACCAAGGCATTTTTTTGTTGTTGTTTTAGAACAAAACAGGAAATTGGGCTAGGACATTGGGACAGGCTTCAGTATCACTACGAACTTAAAATGTTAGTGAATCGATTTCTTTTACTTAAAAAGACTGCAAAAACAAGTAAAAGTAAGTTATGATTTTATTCATCAATCCTTTAATAACTTTTGAGCAATGGTTTTAGAAGTATCTGACCAAAAGTTACTCTCTATACACTACATGACAAAATTCTTGTCATGTAGGAACAACAAATAACAACTTGATCATTTGGTATCAGAAGTTGCTTATATGAAAGCCTTGGTTTTTATTATTTAATTAGGACAGTAAGGTCTGTCTTTGCTTAGACAAAAGTCTTGGCACTTAACAGAAATAATGTACAGTATATAAAGTCAAGATGCAGTGAAAAAAGAATTACTAATGTGTATGACTCCCATAAGCTTGGACGACTGCATCTATACATCTCTGCAAGGATTCAAATAACTTATTAATAAAGTCATCTGGAATGACAAAGAAAGTGTTCTTGCAGGACTCCCAGAGTTCATAAAGATTCTTTGGATTCACCTTTAATGCCTTCTCCTTCATCTTACCCCAGACATGCTCAATGTTCATGCCTGGTGACTGTGCGGGCCAATCCTGGAGCACCTTGACCTTTTTTGCTTTCAGGAACTTTGATGTGGAGGCTAAGGTATGAGAAGGAGTGCTATCCTACTGAATAAATTCCCCTTTCCTGTGTTTTGTAATGTAATGGGCAGCACAAATGTCTTGATACCTCAGGCTATTGATGTTACCATCCACTCTGAACATCTCTTGGATGCCCCATACTGAATATAACCCCAAATCATAATTTTTCCTTTACTAAACTTGACTGGTTTCTGTGAGAATCTTGTGTCCATGCACATTCCAATAGGTCTTCTTCATTATTTGTGATGATTGGGATGCAGTTCAACAGATGTCAAGTTATTATTAGTTGTTTTTACAACTGGGATCGATGACAAGACTTTTGTCAGATGGTGTAAATATATATATAAATAAAAAAGGGAAAAATAAAAATAAGTGCGTCACTCAAACTACTGTAGTAAATTTGATCATATTTGACTACTTTAGCCTGCAGTTGATTCATAATCATAATTTATAACTTAGTAAACATTTTAAACTATATATTAACATAACTTATAGTAATAAAACCACCTAACTAGAATAACATTTGCTATTTCTAAAGCATTTTATTGAAATAACAATATACATTTTTTTCAAATGTTTCAGGTTTAAAAACTTCTTTCACAATTTGAAATAAAAGAAATCAGTGAAAGTGTCATTTCCAATAATGTTTTCCATATTTACATCTCAAATCTGCAAAATATGTGCATGCTGAAATACGCATTCGCATTTCCAGTGTCACTGCCCTTTTCAAGTTCCATGTTTCATTACATTTTGATAGAAAAAGCAACAAAACAAAATAAAACAATAAATAAATGGCAAAGTAGCTTATACACATTGTGAAAGCTTTTCCTGTTGTTCAGGACACAAAACTGGCATTAAAGTACTGCATTTACTAATTTTCAGAAGCAGAGGATTTTATTTTGGGTTTCCTCTGTTCATGTTAGTCTGAGTCAGTGGTGCCACATACAGGCAGAAGATACTCACAGTAAACACAAAGCTGTACCAGGATCAGTGTCTGTAATCACTGGCAGAACTTAAAGGTGCAAACCAGTTACTAGAGGAACAGACACTCAGAAAACCTCCAAAAATATTACAGCACCAACAGAAAAACACTGACCATTTACAGTATTCGAGGTATAGTAGATGTTAATTTGAGGTACACAATCACAATTCCAAAACTACAGTAATACAAGCATGTATATATTAGACAGCTTATAACAATACCAATTTAGCATTTTGTGTCATATATACCTCTCAAAATGACTTTCAAAATGATTTTTTGTCACTTTTGCAAGTCACATTGTTCTTACTATAATACATGATTCAAATATATAATTTAGTAAATCAATTTTAGGACTAAGATTTGTATTCTGGTGCCACAAACTCCCTTCCTGCAAGGATGACAGTAGTGATTCAACTTTGAAGAGGAGGGGGAGTTAGTCTCCTTGGATAATATCGGATTCATTAAAAAGCATTCCAGCTAGAGTGATACACTGAAACATTTGTAATACTAATAATTTGCTGTTCATTTGTTTCCTTGCTACTTTGGTTATTCTTGAATATCTTTTAAGGATTCTTCTCACACACACAACAGACTGCATCAGTGCTTTCATACTACCTCATGTCTTTATCTTTTATAAAAATATAGAACACTTATTCAAATGTCCTCATAAAATACTGATATTTAATAATGATACTCAGTTGACAAGCCTGCAGCAGTTTTATTTTGAAAATAATATTTGTGCTATTGCTGAAAGCCCTCAAAGTATGAAGATGTCAAAAGCGCTTTTCAGCCTGTCCAGCAAATTTACACTCATCACTGCGTAGAAATCTCAATCTGCTCTTTTGAACCGCTTCGACGATGCTAGAACTTGGCATGGTTTAGGCACTAACACGAACATTGCAGGAGGACTGCAGTAAGGTACTTAACATTTGTTTAGTCATTTATGACCTTTACAACAGCTAGATTATTTTGTTAGTCATTTGAGACACACAAACTCTGTGCTTCAAGGAGGCGGGGGTAACTTGACATCCAAGAGATTGTAAGCAAAAATGTTCCAGAAGATTCCACAAAGGATAAAGAGTGTGTAGACACTGAAGAAGATCCAGAACAAGGACTGTTCTTGCAAACGCTGTTCATAGTTTTGAAGAACCACAACGCCAAGTGTGAGGCCCACTGCCACACCCCCCAGATGGGCCACAAAGCTGGGGTTAGGACATGGTGGGAAGGCTGGGGGATAGCACCGAAGCCAGACAGCACGGCCAAACTCCACACTCACTGTAGACACAGAGAATAAACTTTTATATTGGCTACAACCAATTACTTACATCTGATTACATTTTATTTAAATTACAAATCGATTATAACCAATATAATAAATGTCAAATTGTAACTTATACAGTTCCAAATATTTTTGGAGTTACAACCTTATTCAAAAATGGATTACATTTTTTCTACATTCTACACACCATACCCCATAATGACAAAGTGAAAAAAGATTTTTTTGAAATTGTTGCACATTTATTGAATAAATAATAAAATACCTGAAAAGTCACATGTACTTAAGTATTCACAGCCTCAAGTCTTTTTGAATAAGATGCCACAAGCTTGGCACACCTGTCTTTGGGAACTTTTCCTCATTCCTCTTTGCAGTACATCTCAAGTTCTGTCTGGATGAATGGGAAGCGACGGTGTAAAGCCATTTTCAGATATCTCCAGAGATGTTCAATAGGATTTACGTCTGGGCTCTGGCTGGGCCACTCAAGGACATTTACTTCAGTTGTAGTGAAGCATTGATATTTTGACAATGTGACTGGTTTTCTCCAAACGTATGCCTGCCATTCACTCCAAAGAGTTCAATTTTAGTCTTTACAGACAATTCCTTTGTCTTCATGCTTGGTTTGTGCTTTGGCATGCACTGTCAACCCTGGGACCTTATATAGACAGGTGAATGCCTTTTCAAATCATGTCCAATCAATTGAATTTGTCCAATTCATGCCCAATTTAGCTGCTGAAACATCTCAAGAATGATCAGTGGAAACAGAATGTACCTGAGCTCAATTTAGAGCTTCATGGCAAAGGCTGTGAATACTTATGTACATGTGATTTTTCAGTTTTTTTATTTTTAATAAATTTCTAACAATTTCAATAAAATATTTTTTTCACATTTGATGAAATAAATGAATTTAATAAATTTTGGAATAAAGCTGTAACATAAACAAATGTGGGAAAAGTGAAGTGTTATGAATACTTTCCATATGCACTGTAACTAGTGTTAATTAACTCAACTAGGGTTAAGTTTTGTGTTTGGTTTGAAGTTAGCTGCTTGTAATTATACATAGCTCAAAATTATTAAAGTGTTAGTTCACCTAATAATGAAAACTGAGAGCTCTCTCATCCTCCACAGATGGCAAGATTCCCGACTCATTCAAAGTCTGAAAAAATACACCTCCAGTGTTTCATTCGGGATATTTACAAGCTATGAGAATTCATTTGTGTCCACATAAAACTAAAATAATGACTTTATTCAATAGTTTCCTCTCCTCAGTGTCTCTAACTTTTAAATAAAGTCATGATTTTTGTTTTATGCTTAACAATATTCTGACTGAACTACTAAATTATTCTGTGAACGCGAGTCGGGAGCTGTTTATGGAGGATGAGGAGCTGTCAGATTTCACCTTAGATTCAAAAGACAAACAAAGGTCTCAGGTTTGCAATGACATGAGGGTGAGTAATACCATCATTTTTATTTTTGGGTGAATTAACTCTTTAATAAAGCTAATAACACAAATAAAGTTGAAATCAGAATTATTAAACACCTTTTTGATTTTTTTTTTCTTTTTTAAATGTTTCCCAAATGATGTGAAACAGAGCAAGGATATTTTTACAGTGTGTCTGATCATATTTTTTTTGTCTGAAGAAAGTCTTGTTTGGTTTATTTTAGCAAGAATAAAAGCAGTTCATTACAAAAAAAACATTTTAAGGTAAAATTATTAGCCCCTTTAAGCTATATATATATATATATATATATATATATATATATATATATATATATATGCTGTTTCTGTAAAAATGCAGAATATATATACAGAACAAACCGTCGTTATACAATAACTTGCCTAATTACCCTAACCTGCTAAGTTAACCCAATTAACCTAGTTGTTAAGCCTTTAAATGTCACTTTAAGCTGTATAGAAGCATCTTGAAAAATATCTAGTAAAATATTATGTACTGTCATCATGGCAAAGATAAAATAAATCAGTTATTAGAAATGACTTAGAAAATTAGAAACTGCATAAAGTCTTCTGATCTGAATAAACTGATCTATTCATGAAGTGATCTGAATAAACACAGAACTGAACTGAACTGAACTGAACTGAACTGAACTTAACTGGACAACGACATTGGCATATTTAATGAAACCTCTTATTGCCGAACTGAACCCATTTCATACTATTAATTATTAAATATTCTTTATTTTTACAGAAACAGCAACATTTGTACAGAAGCCCCTGAAATAAAAATGAATTGAACCTTAATATAATGTTTGTCATGTTAAAATAAAGTATTTTCAGTAGAAACATGGATCTTTTATATATAGACCCTTTTCACATTTCCGGGATCCTCAGTAAAGAAAGTCACCATAGTTGGGATTTTTTGGGAGAATTGGCAGTGAATAGGATAATACAACACATTTATTTATTTTTAAAATTTGGTCAAATAATAAAAGAAAATCTCCACGATGATGTTATAAACACTTTCAGAAAAAGGAAAAAAATTGTGTGAGATTGATGACGGCAGCCAGAGGGGAGGATAACGTCAAATTTACTGTCCAGTCCCATAGACACAGCATTAGAAATGTAATTTGTTATCGGTAATTTGGTAATTTGAAGCAGAGATGATATACTACATACACAAATACGTAGAAATGTTCATATGTTTTTTTTTAAATCAAAATATGAAAAAAATTCAGGATTTAAGATGCTGATGATTGGTAAACGCGCCATAACAGGCTTGTGAGAAGGGTCCATTAAGCACAAGTATCTTAAAAACAAAGGTTACATACTGCACACCAGAGCCATTGCCATGCGAAAGAGCTTGAACTGACACTTCATCCCTGACCAGTTCTGCAAAGAGTGGGACAGAAACATCAAATTAGGAGAAAAGAGTAGGAAGATAGAAGCACATTTGTATTTCCTAAAGTGTTCTGCTGTTGTTCCAGGGAACTGGTTTTGGTACTCCAGCTTATTATTATTTCAAGATGAGATGGATATTTGCTCAGGCGTTTTCAGTGATGATGTGGCAGTCAGAGCAACATTAGCACCTGTGACTCATCAGCTAATTAAAGGTCAGTTTTGCATGTAATATTTAAAATTAACTGAGTCAGATTTCATTTGACCTGATGAGAGATCATTTTTGTATAGACAAAGTATTTGTAATCTGAGTCCTGACCATGTAACAGTGCTGACACAAAAAGTTCTATCTGAAATGCTGAGCAAGTACAGGAGGGTTCATGCTCTGAGACGAGAGAACTGTGGATAGCCCCAGTGTTAATATTTAATGACTGTGACCAAGTCATTATGCAGTACATAACACATTTATTTAAGCTGTTTGAAATTGGCCTCTATACCTGTGGCTTCCAAAGTGGTGGCCTTGGGATGGGGTGTGGAGGTTGCTTGGTGATTTCCAAAAATCTAATTAATTTTATTAAACTATTAGACTTAGAGTTCCCATTTTATCCATAACATACAGAAGATAAAATTTATAGGTAACAGTTACATAAAAAACAAAACATGCAAATAAAAAGCGGTCAGCCTTTTGATTTTTTTCCACTGGATTGGGACCCCCTGGAGTGTTTATGTTATATTAAAGGCACAGCAATAGCAACAGATGCAGCAGATTGATATTACAGCACCAGATTAAACTTTCATACAACTTTACAGCACTCATGTACATAAGAAATAAATACAGGCCATGAATCAAGATTTAGGATGATATCCAAGTGGTGGTCTCCAAAATTACACTAAGAATAGACTTGGGTCTATTAGTATGTGTGCGCAATTACATGCAAGGTTTGTATATTTGTGACCACCTCAGAGGATAGTAGGGGTTGTGAGTCACTGACATTGTTAATTTGGGAGTCACAGGCTAAAAAGTTAGGGAACCCCTACTCTATACCACTATTAACAATCCTCTAAGTTAGTCCACTAATACAGTACAGTTGAAGGGGTTAATGAGAAAAAAATATTATGATTACTGAGTGCTCTATAAGAGCTGTTGCTTTTGCATACCCAGTCTGCAAGAGATATTTTAAAGAGTGTTTGGTCTGAAAAACATATGCTGTGTACAAAGATCTGATAAACAGCTTTAAAGAGTTAGTTCAGACAAAAATGAAAAGTCAGTCATTACTTGCCCTCGTGTTGTTCCAAACCCCTGAGACCTTTGTTCATCTTTAGAACAGAAATTAAGATAGTTCAGGTCTAGGAGCTCTGATCCTCTATAAACGGCAAGTTTCTCGACTTATTTAAAGTCCAGAAAAATACTAAAATCATCCTCAAAACAGACATAGCACGATCTAGCCCTTGCTGGAAAACACCCAACTACTCATCTGCCACCAAACTGAACTACAGATCCCATCATGCACCTCTCACACACACAAGTTCCAAATCACAACTGATTACATAAATGCAGCTGAAACTCGTGAGAACTGATTACCGGGACTATACACACAGCACACACATATAAGCTGAGTCTTGTTAAACTGTAGTGAGCATTTCAAAGCGTTTCCTTCTACTGTCTTTCTGTGGCTTTTGACCTTTGCCTTGTTTATTGTTTATGTTGTTTTGCTGTCTGTCCCGATCATTCTCCTCTAACATTGACGACCCTCTGGATTTCCTGCATGCTCCTGTTTGTTCCAGTGTTGAACTTGCCTGTACCGTCAATCTCTTTGAATAAAGCTGCACAGTTGTATCTGATCCGCCGATACAACTCATAACAAGACCATTTGCCTTCAATGGTTCAAACGGAATATTATCAAGCAACAAGATTACATTTGTGCACATATTAAATAATAACTTTATTTAGTGTCCTCGCCTGAGTGTCAGTATATTGTGCAAGTTCACATGCAACATGAATGCACGTCCTATGCTGACACAAAAATATAATAAGAAAATATCAGTTTGCAACATCAAGCAGCATAACAAGCTGTTTTAATATCTAAAATTGAATGAAAGTAAAAGAGACCAGAAGTCTAAAGCCAAAAAGATTAATATGGCTGCACCCACTCATATGGGAAGATTAAGGTGAATAGCACTCCAAAATAACAGTGAACACATTATACCAACACAAAGTTCTGTCCAGAGAGCTTGTAATAAGTTAGATTTCTCAAGCCAAACCCAGTTCTGATTACTGTCACGTCTGTTTGCAATCAAGAAATCACTTGAATAGGACCTGCCAAAGTAAAATAGACCAAAAGATCCTCAAAAGCTACACATCAAGCTGAGATTTAAAGAAATTACAAAATAAATAAGAACACAATAATAATTGAGATCTACCAGTCTGGAAAAGCTTATTGACCTTATTCTAAAATGCGGAAGTGCGCCTGTTTTCGCGATTGTCTTAGAACTTCCGATTCACTCGCCTGTGGGAGAAATGACTAGGAATAATAAACGGCAGAAAACGGTCAAACTACTTGCTCTACAAACAAATGTTTGCATTACTATACAGACCAAGTAGTATAATATAACAAGAAAATATCAAATTGCAACATCAAGCAGCGTAATGAGCAGTTTTTAATGTCTAAAAATGAATGGAAGTGAATGAGAGCGGAAGTCTCGAGCCAAAAAGATTTAAATGGCAGCCCCCGCTCGTCGGCGGAGAATAAGGTCAATAAAGCCGTTTCTAAAACTTTGGTAGTGCACCAAATCATAGTGAGAGCCATTATCCACCAATGGCAAAACATGGAACAGTGGAGTATCAACCAAATTTACCCCAAGAGAGCAGCACCAAATCCTCCATACATCTCAACAACTGAACTGCAGGCCTCACTTGCCTCAATTAAGATGATAGTTCATGACTCCACCATAAGAAAGAGACAGGTCAAAAAAGTTTGCGTGACAGAGTTCCAAGACAAAAACCGCTGCTGAACAAAAAGAAAATAAAGTCTTTTGCCAGAAAACATCTTGAACATTATTGCCATAACTGACTAAAACTAATTCTGACAAAGACACAGGGCCGGCGCGTCCATAGAGGTGACCTAGGCGGCCGTCTAGGGCAGCAGAATAGAGAGGGCGGCGTCCCCGACACTACCCTCACCAACCGCGCTTGCAGAGCAGCAGAATAGAGAGGGGGGCGTCCCCGACACTATCCACCGTGCCCTCAGTTATATTTGCGTCTATTGCGGTAGAATAGAGAGGGCGGCATCCCTGACACTACCCTCACCACCCGCGCCCTCAGTTATATCCGCGTCTAGGGTGGCAGAACCAAGAGGGCGGTGTCCGCGACAGCTCACCCCCACCCCCCTCCCCCACCCAACCCCCCAAGATCCCCCAACCCCCCGCCCCGCCTTTGTCACGTTAGGGTTGCGGGCGGCATTACTTTGCCTAGAGCGGCAGTTCAGCTTGCTCCGGCCCTGTATAGACATAATAAGTAAGTGATTTTCATGTCCTCGGTTATTAACAGACACCTGAAACGAACAAATGTAACATACACTAAGCTACACCACTACTTTAACCTGCTTGTTAGGTCAGGACTCCTGCCTTCTTTGTATTGACCCTTTTACTGGTCCTTTTATCATTTATCATTAATTTATCATATAATCCACATTCAGTTTTTGTCTAATAGAATCTCACTCGGTTTTACAATCTGATGAATCAAAAAATGTTCTAAGTGTTTTCAATTACCATGACAACATTGGCGAGGTGAGCAGAAACCAGTGCATAGACTCCTCCTGATGAACCAACCACAGGTGCTGTCATATCCGTCACAGAAACAGCCAAAGAGCCTGCAGGAAGACAATGCAGACAAAAGTCAGTCATACAAATCACATCTTTAGACACAGGAGCAGACATTGTTAACAACTGACCAAATAACATTTGAACAAAAGACAGCAAATGAGATTTATAAGATAACAAATGGAAAAAATAATAATTAAAATTACAATTTGTTCCCCACACAAAGTTATTGTGTAATTGTATTTAAAGAAAATAACCAGGCTATGGAATAGGCAAATGACAAAATTGTATTTGACTTTTCTATTTTAACAGCATTGTTGAAATCAGAGGAATTTTAACATACAGCACCAAGACATCCAAGTGGTATTTTTGTCAATAATACTTTTCGAATAATAAAAATAATGAGAAACTAGTACTTATAATCTCTTGAGACTTTTGATAAATATTCAGCACTGTCTCAAAGCATATCAGCGTATTTATCAAAAATATTTTCAAACACAAACAAACAATTTTTTTTTCCAAGAATCTTATTAATATTATAGAAATGAAATAAAACAAGTAATATATAATAATATGATGAACTATTATGAATAATAGAAACAAACTATTTACAGTGATTACAGTAATTCTATACATCTGGAAAGCAGATGTACCATATTATATTGTTATTCTGTTTTTCTTCGATAATACAGGAGGACAAAAGGAATTAAAAACAAAACAAAGATCAATTTCTGGGGAAATTCAGACATTGGTTGTGACCATTTTACAACTGTAAAAGTCTGATGACTAAACTGAAATAAAAACATTGGATTTTTTTTACATCAAGGCATGTTGTTCTGCAGACTTCCCAAATTTATTCAGTGTTTTTTCTTTTCTAAACTATTGTATCCTTCAACAAAAATGCTGGAATTGGTGTTGTAAGTGTTGGAATTGGTTAGTTAAAAAAGAGCTAAAATTTAAATTCTGTTGTCTGTCATCTGTAGTACGGAACAATTTAGAATATTTAATTACACTACACTGTTTGGTAAACTTTATTTTGTTATAAGTATTTATTATTTTTGTATTAGCTCAACATATAATTTCTGACTGAACCAATGATAACAGATTTTTGCCTGAAAATAAATTGTGATATTCAGTTAATTCACACCTCATCTCTTTTCAGCCTTTTGGTTTTCCTAAAATTGTCTTTTCTGTTCTTCTTTGCTGGTCTTTTAGACTGTTGTTTAATCTTGTCTGTGTTTTTCTTTTTTTTTTTTTTTTCTTTACTGTTCAATCAGCTTTTCCGTTTTTTAACTACAGAAGTCTAAAAGAAGACGGATCAACCATTGAAATAATTTAACTATAAGTCATACCAACATGTTTGCTTCCGTTCATCTGACACCAGGTTTTCAACTTTTGTTTTTAGAATTATAACAGATAAACTAAGAGTGGCTGAATAATGAAATATTGAAACCCATGGAATCAATAAAATCAGTCAGTATGTTGTAGTTTTAAGGTAATTTTTATATAAATGTAGTCTTAAAAACCACCACTTAAATTTTAACTGAAATGATGCATTTAATATACAAGTAGGATCGGAGTGAAGCATAAACAGACAACTAGACACACAGTGGTAAATGTTGCTGTAGGTGTCACCTTGAGTTGGTAGAATGTGTGTGTGGATTATGTGTGAATTACTGTTGTTACTTCTATATCACCCAGGGCTGTAAAAAAGTAGTAGCTTTTAAATGTACTTTCCTTTAAAGGACATACGGTTATTTAATTAAATATAGAAATTATATGTCTTCTTAGAAAAAAAAAACACCACTGTAAATACTCACTCACTCACTCACTCACCCACTCACTCACTCAACATCCTTCAGCTTGTCTCTGATTTATCAGGGGTCGCCACAGTGAAATGAACTACCAAATTCTCTGGCATAGGTTTTATGTGGAGGATGCACTTCCAGCACTGGGAAACACCCATACAATCATACCCACTTTACACACTGTATTTTAAATATTAATAAAACTAAATGTAAAAAAATTAAAGCACAAAACATTCTCCCACAAATTCTTACAATTTTTTCAATGAATTCAACACAAATAATACCAGAAAAAAGACAAAAAAAGCATGATGTGTTAGACTCACCTGCCAGGGCGCCACACACATACACTAGGCCGATTCTCAAAGCTCCATGGACCATCTCAAGTGGCACACCCACCAAAAGCTGCATGGCCATGTTTAGACCCAGGTGTTCAATTCTGAAACATTTAAATCAGCCATTAGCACAGATGCACTTCTGGAACGGATTAATACCATTAAACTGCAGTCTCCATACAGTATACTTAGTGTCTATCGGCATTATTTAGCTAGATATTTATTTCATTAATTTAATTTTCTTGTCGGCTTAGTCCCTTTATTAATCCGGTGTCGCCACAGCGGAATGAACCGCCAACTTATCCAGCAAGCTTTTACGCAGCGGATGCCTTTCCATCCGCAACCCATCTCTGGGAAACATCCACACACACATTCACACACACACTCATACACTATGGACAATTTAGCCTACACAATTCACCTGTACCGCATGTCTTTGGACTGTGGGGGAAACCGGGCACCAGGAGGAAACCCACGCGAACGCAGGGAGAACATGCAAGCTCCACACAGAAACGCCAACTGCGTTTCTTCTTTGCCCAGCGACCTTCTTGCTGTGAGGCGACAGCACTACCTACTGCGCCACTGCTTCGCCCCAGATATTTATTTCCCATACAAAACACAACACTCTAATTATCATGAATTAAACACCAACAAGTGTGTATCACCCCTAAACAAAGTTTATATTCAAACAGACGTCTAAATAAAATCTCATATACAGTAGTGTAAAGTAACTCTGACTGTCCAGAAGATGGTTTTAATCACTGTATTCTGCTCATTTGTTTTACATCTGTTAATGCAAAAAGTAATATATTTTACTGCTATTAAATAATTGAATGCCATTAAATAAGATATAATAATTGAAAACCATGAATGCCCCAACTTTG